TGAATTGCGGTAAGTTTTGAAAAAAATTTTAAACCTCTTTTTAAAATTTATGTTGAACCGAAAAAAAATGTTTCTTTTAAGTTTTTGTAGAAAAGGTTTTTCAACCACAAGTTTTTAAGGACTAAAATTAAAATGCGGAAATATATAAAATAGTTTAGAAGTAAATGACACGCAGATTTTATAGGTGTTCGTGTCTAAAACCAGACCTATCATCCACTCCCAGCGACCACTCCTCGTGAGTACCTTGCATTCTAATACCAATAGTGACTCTCCTTATTTGCAACCATCAGCAAGGCGGAGAAAACTTTAACAACACACTTTTCACCACTACCCGGGCGAGCGAGATACCGTCCGTCCTTTTTACACAATCCCAACAGTGTGGCAAGAGAACTGTCCGTCCTTTTACGCTCTCCTAGTGTGGGCACGAGAACCCTTCGTCCTTTCACACTTTCCAAGTGTAGGAGAGAACCTTCATCCTTTCACACTCTCCAAGTGTAGGGCAGAGAGAACGCCTTCATCCTTTCACAATCTCCAAGTGTCGGCAGAAAACCGCGATCTCTCTTGACAGATCTTCTCATCAAGAATCTATGAAGGAAGAAAGAAGAGTGAGTAATAGCCAATTCAACAAGTAAAGATTTTTACCTTTGAAAATCCAAGTTGAAGCTTGCTTGCTCGCAGTGGTTAATGAATCCTCCTATGACATCGCTCTCTTGTCACTTCTCCTTTGGCTATTCTCTCAAGAGGCACAAAGATCAAATGACAAAAGATTGGATGGCAGTACTAATTTGGACTTATATATGCAGATAAGACAAGAAAAAACCGCGCAAAAACTGCAAGTTTTCATACTGTACGCAGTGGATCGTCCGTACGATCGTGGATCGCCTAGACGATTTTACTTAAACGTTTGAAACAACCCTATTTGTATATGTGTACAAATGTCTTCGTATATATGATCGTCCCGTACGAACAATTAATTCGTCCAGTACGAACGGTTATTGACAAGGCCGGTTCTAGAAACTGCTGAAAACCGTTTCTATCAATGGTAATCGTCTGGACGACAATTTGTTCGTCTGGATGAAATTTAACAGAGGACCAATCGTCATGTATGATAATTAAATTCATCTGGACCGAAAATTTTACAGAGACCATATCGTCTGGACAATAATTAATTTCATCTGGACGAAAATTTTACAGAGGACCAATCGTCAAGTAACATAATTAATTTCGTCTGACAAAAACTTTATACAGAGACCAGATCGTCCTGGGACGAATAATTAATGTTCATCCTGGATGAATAGGACTTTAGAAAAAATTTCTCAAGCCAGTTCCTAAATTCGTGTCCATGTGCTCAATAGGAGATACACTTGTCGAGCGTCCCGTACGAACGGTGATATCATCCCGTACGATTAGTATTAAATTTATATATGATATCTTATGTGTGTGTTTATGTTTTTATTCATCAAATTATCAATCACTCCCTTTCAATTTTGATTCAAGAAAAGTACAAAGGTTCAAATTTATAAAGTAATTTCATGCTGAAGATTGATTTAAGTCTTCGCATTCTGAGTTTGATTTTCCTGAAAGTTATGTACACACAAAGAGCAAATACAGAATCCTCTAAAATTATTAGGACGATAAACTATATATCGAACAAAATATTTGGAATCATCAAAATACATAAGTTGTAAAAAATGTAAAGCCATGCAAATAGCAACTAACTTAAAATCTCCCCTTTTTGATGCGATGGCAAACAATTATTGTTTTGTATGATATTTATTTACAAACAATCTCCTAAACTCCTCCTGAATTGATGAACTACATGAAAATAATGAGGCCATTTTGAAGCAAAGAACAATATTGTTTGTTTCTCAAAATTTTTTAACAAAATCAACAAAGTCAAACACAGAAATCAAAGTGCAAACAAATAATAAAACAACAACATACAAACCCAATAATTTCTCCCCCTTTTTGACAACCAACAAAAGTGAAGAAGAAATAAGACAAGAAATGAAGTAATTATATGAAATTCATTGAAGAGATTTAATCTAAAAGGATGTGACATAAGGTATGCCGCAATCTAAAACTGAATAACTTAGATAACATAGAAGATTATAGAATTTAAGAAGTGATATAACATTGATAAGTAAGAAGAAGTTTATCAAACGACATGCATTCAATTAGACATTTGAATATAGAAATCATTACAAGAGAGATGAATAAAAATTCTAATAGTTTCAGTTCAATAGAATATAAATGAAACATAGGATCAAACTTTGATTAAGGATTGACAAGAATTTGGAGAAAAGAGACATATTCAATTGGCCACGCTTTGCGCATACCTTTTTCAAATTTTGTTATGGCACCAATTTTTGTTGCATCTTTTGATATTATGCCTAATATTTGTACCTCTTTTCATATTTTGCGAACCTTTGCGCATTCTTTTATTTTTTGTATCCATGTACAATTTTCAGAGTAATTGAACACCAATTCTTTTTCAAAGATTCTAATCTAAATTTCAAATTTTTTCAAGTGCATAATATCCATTGAGCAGAGAATATAATAAGAAAAATCTAAATTGTAATAAATAATATTAACTTTTATTAGTCTAAATGAATAGACATGAATTAATAAAGTTTAATATAAAGTTTAAATAAATACCAATTTACCCCCCCCCCCTCCCCTCTTGGTTAGGTTGGGACTAAGTTCATAAGGGCTTAACATCCCTAATGAACTTTCAATCTCCATATCGGCCTGGACGATACTGCATAATTATGCCTAAATTATTTTGGCAATTATGGAAAGCAATTAAAGCTGATTGATACAATCACATCGGCCGGGCCAATCATAGAATCGGTCGGGACGATGTCCTGAACTATTGACATCAGCCAGCATCTATTTCAGGTGATGTTCAGGATGATTGTACTCGAATTTTATTAATCGGCCAGGATGATATTGTATCAACCTGGACGATGTAACCAATTTTCTTCTGATCGTCCCAAATCATCCCGGGTGATTAAGCTTATTTTGTACTGATCGGCCAGGACGGTATTCCTATCATCCTTGACAATAAAGTCAGTTCTTGAAATTCTATTTAAAGGACCCAAATTTTCTCATGCAATAAAACCTTAAGTGATGTTGTCTTGTCCTGAGAGAGCCTTGGGAGAGGGAGAGAGAGAGAGAGAGGAACTTATGAGGGGGAGTTTGTGAGAGGGATCACAAAGTTTGTTCCAAACAAGGTTCCAAGTCATCATCTCTGTTCTTCGTCCTTATTCCTTGGGAGGTTCTTGGGAGGTCTACTTCTGCAAAAGGTTCGGGTTCTCTGCCCGCTTGAGGAGGAAGCAAAAGGAGTCGGTTTTCTGCCGCATCGGGGTTGGTGAAAATGAGTCTATTGTAAAGGCTTCTCCGCCTAGCTGTGGGAGCTAATGGAGAGACACTTAGTTAGTGCAATACTCGGAGGGTGCCTCCAAGGAGTGGATGTAGGTCCATGATTAACCGAACCACTATAAATCTGGTGTGATCTTTCTTTGTTTTGCTTTCGTGTTTATTTACTTTTTAGTACTCTGATTTCTGTGGTGATTTTAGTTTTAATTTTGTGCTTTACCTAAAGAAAAATTTTAAAATAACAATTCACCTCCTTCTTGGTTATCCTCGGGCTAGTTCTTAAGGGCTTAACATCCCTAGCGAACTTTCAATAGCTTTATGCAATGGTTATATAGTGTTTATCCTTAGTAGTCGTACTATAGTGCCGTTGATCTTATTATCGTCCAATAAAAAGTTATTTTTATTTTATGTTTAGTTTTTATAATTCCTATACAATTCTTTATTTCTATTTTATTTATATTTGGTTATATTTTGATCATGATTAAATGTTAAAAATTATCTTCTACATAATGCTTGCAATTTTTCTTCTAATTTAGCCAAAAAAAATAAAAATTATATAAAATTAAGATAATAATAAAATCTTAGATTATTATTTGAATGAATAATGCTTAATAATTCATAAGTTAAAAGGTTTAAAAATTAAGTAACATATAAAACATATGTATTTCACTTGTTTTGAATTTAGAAACTATAAACTAGTGCGCTGACTATTGAGATGAATA